CACTCCAGCCACACCTACTGTCGCTGATATTACAAGATATTTGCAATGTTGAATAAGACGCATCGACTGAATATCATTCAGGCCGCTAGTTGAACAGCACCCAAGGCTAACTAAGCTAGGTTGCTGAGACAGATATACTATTTTAGGGATACTCCACAACACGCTGTACGTACAACAACTTAAGGCGTGTGTGTGTGTGTGTGTGTGTGTGTGTGTGTGTGTGTGTGTGTGTGTGTGTGTGTGTGTGTATGTGTGTGTGTGTGTTACATGTCTATTGTATTAGTCAGACTATTTTTCGTGATTGAGATCCTATTTTGTATTAGTATAATCGAAGTTACAATGCTTCACATAATATTGCATCATGTTAAACCATCGATATTTTTTCACTTTTAGCATCGCTGATTTATAGGACATTGCGAAAAATTGATCATCACTATCATCCTTTTGTGCTTACAGGGCTAGGTCGAAAGTTATACTCGGTCATAACTGTACTGGTCCAAAAATCAAGGTACTCGAGTATACCTACCACCCGGACTTCCAGAAAACCACTTTTAGCTCGCTCGTTTTGATTCAGTTGGACAGGTTAAGAATAGAAGAAGGTAATATGACAACATCTTTTTAAATCTGTGGCAACATGAAATTAGATTTTATGACGTTTATTATGATATTTTGATTATATTTTTATTTTTAGTCCAGATTCCAAATTTTTTGTGTGTTTTAATCGTAGTATGTATGAAAATCTGGAATGGTAACACTTGGATTGATGAATATTGCTTTTTTATTGACATATTTATAATTATACAGGGTTATATTTCAAAGAGTTGCCAAATATTGGGTCCTTACATATGAAATTAGCGTTTTGTCGTACTGACCACTTTGATATGAAATTTTGTTAAGAATTACAAATTCTACAAAACCTGAATTGATTGAATGTGCGATTCGAAGTTTGAAATGTGGTAAGGCTGCGGGACTAGACAGAGTTACTGCTGAAATGGTCAAGTATGGTGGGCCTCGCGTCTGGGACAGCTTTCATCTGCTGTGCAATTTGTGCTGGCGGACGGGGGATGTTTTTTTTTTTATAGGATAGGGGTGACAAACGAGCACACAGTCCACCTGATGGTAAGTGGTTGCTGCGGCCCATAGACATCTACATCTATCTTCTATTACAAATCAAAATGTAGATGCGTTGTCACCCGTGAGGACTAAGATGGAATGCCTCATTTCCAGTAAAAAGGGCCTCCGGCCACCTGCACTCACCAAGCGAAACGCAGAGGTAAACCTCTACTTCACGCTGGTTTTCTGTGAGGTCGTGGTACCACCTCGGTTCGAGCCGGCCCATCCGTGCGACAGCAAAAGCTGCCGCGTGGCTCTACCACTGTTAGATGTCCCGGATGATTGGCAATCCGCAGTCATTGTGCCTTTATATAAAGGTAAAGGTTCACATTTTGACTGCGGGTGCTATCGGGCGATCAGCTTGACCAGTTTAGCAAGTAAAGTTTACTCGAAGGTTTTGACACGTAGGATGCAAGAGAAATCGGAAAGATTTCTATGGGAGGCACAATGCGGATTTAGACCTGGAAGAGGATGCACGGATCAAATGTTTTCTCTCCGCATGATCACGGAAAAGCTTCTGGCTGCTAACCAGAAGATATTCTGTGCTTTTGTGGATCTTGAGAAAGCATTTGATAAGGTTGTAAGGAAGAAAATGTGGGAACTGTTGCCGGGGTATGGTGTGGATGGTCGATTGCTAAGGGCTGTGCAGTCTCTTTACTGTGACTGTAAAGCCTGTGTGCGGGTAGGGCATGACCTGTCACCCATGTTTAGCGTCCAAACGGGCGTAAAACAGGGTTGTGTCATGTCTTCCTGGCTGTTCATACTGTATCTCGACAGCTGTTTACAAAAGCTGAAAGATAACTGTTTGGGTGTGAAATTGGGTGACATTAAAGTAAATTGTCTGCTGTATGCTGATGATGCAGTGCTTATTGCACCATCAGAGGCAGAACTGCAGGCATTAGTCACGTGTATGAAAGAGGAATGTGAAATTAAAGGTCTCCGTTTGAACGCTAATAAAACTAAGGTTCTGGTATTTGAAAGGGACGAAGAGAGAACGAAGAGTGAAATATGGGTAAATCAGGAATGTCTAGAACAAGTAAATGAAATTGTATACTTGGGGAGTGCTTTTAGCCGGGATGGAAGATGTGATTTAGATGTGGACAGGCGTGTCGCTGCCGGGAACAAAGTCAATGGTGCCCTGACTGCGATAGTCAAAGGCAAGGCGTAGTGAAGAGTGCACGCCTTGCAATACATAACGCAGTGTTGGTACCGACTTTGTTATATGGCAGCGAAACCTGGGTATGCCAGAAGAAGCATAAAAGCAAGTTGAATGCAGTGGAGATGCGATCTCTTCGTAAAATGTGCGGCGTTACCATGGCCGACCGAAAGCGAAACGAAGAGATTCGCAATATGGCAGGTTTGAAAGATGACCTTATCACAAAAATTGATAAGGGCGTGCTTCGGTGGTTTGGGCACGTGGAGCGAATGAGTGAAGACCGAATGGTGAAGAAAATATATAGCGCGAAAGTTAATATTAAAAGGTGTCGAGGTAGACCGAGACTAACTTTCGAAGACCATGTGAGCAAATTGCTCGAAGAGGGTAGGGTCAAGAGTACTCGGATACCTAGACGTGCATGTATGAAGAAGATAATGAATCTGAAAGAAGCGAAAGAGGTATGTAAGGATCGTGACACTTGGCGATCTGTTCTCTCTGGCTACCCCGTCAGGGATTGTGCGTGAAGATAACTCAACAATTACAAATTCAAATTTATAAATATTTATTTTTATTTTATAGTATAAGGGTGATAAACGAGCACACAGTCCACCTGATGATAAGTGGTTGCTGTGGCCTATAGACATCTACATCTATCCACGTTTGCTAATCAAAATGCAGATGCGTTGTCACACCGTCACTAAGATGGAATGCCTCGTTTCCAGTAAAAAAAGTCGCCGGTTCTCTACACTCACCATACGAAACACAGCAGCTTTAAGTTGCTATTTTACGCTGGTATTCTGTGAGATTAAATAAATTATTTAGCTATTAATTTCATTTAGCTGGTACATTTGAGTTTTGAAAACAGTTATTCATTTGTTTTGCCCTCATAATTTTTTTCTTTGGCGTTGCTTCTTACCGCACCATGGAAAACCTGAAATATCGGTATATTTAGAAGTATGAGTTCTACCGTGGCACTAATATTTTGTGGCAATAATAGTTATTGCAGTTTTTGAAAATACGAGTAAATAAGGCTTCTACGGTCATTTTAAATTAACCCAAATTGAATGTGATTTATGGGCAACAAATAAGCGTACGCGCACTCCTCTGTGTGCGATTCGATTCACAACTATCGATCCTTACGAATGTGTGCGTGCGTAGTAAAATAGTAGGTGTTAGATATTTTATGAATGGCAATTAGTTAAAATAATACATTACCATGCATTTTGAATTTAAAAGATAAAAAGGACACAATATTTGACTTTTTTTTTAAATACATTTTATTCACCATTTTGTCTATATTACTTATGCTGAACATTCTCTGCAAATTTGGCCGGTTATTGCAAAATAACCCTGTATTTTTAGTCGAAGGCACTCTAGATTGGAATAGCGTATTTTAATTGTGAACAAATGAGAGTTTTATTTCGGCTCAGGACCGTGCTTTGTGGCATTCTTTGGGGGAGGCCTATGTTCAGCAGTGGACTTGTGAAGGGCTGTAATGATGATGATGATGATGATGAGAGTTTTATAAAGAATAAGGAAGTGGATGATCGTTTCAAATCTTTAGAGGAGCTCATGTTAAAACCATACTGTTAAAAGGCTTTATGATTATGTAGGTATTCGATATGGTAGTCTTCATCATCGATCCGTAAATGTCTACTGCTGGTCATGGGCCTTAGGGATTTCCATTCATCGCCACGCTTACCAGATAGAATAATGAAAAAAATGTCTGCCTAAATCATCATCATCAGCCCATGATATTATATAGCTGACATGGCTAGCGGTCACTCGTATCGTATTTTAGGACAGGGGAAATCAATATTGGTATTTTACGATGTTTTTTTACACAACTTTAGGTGAGAAACGAACACGAAACCCACTTGATATTAAATTTATTCTAAAACTCGTAGAGAAACACCTACATTTCTGTATTAAAAATCAAAATGCAGATGCTGCTAATAACTTAGATGAAACTTCTTTACCATTAAAATACCTCAGTTATCATCACTTTGTGAGTCATTCGTCATTTGTGGCGCAAAGTAATTCTCCAGCTTGATTCTACCGTGCAAAAAAGCATCAAAATTTTAGCGACCTCTTTCTTTAGTTTTATAAAAGATGTTTATGGGCAACAGCATTCACTTACCATCAGTCGGATTGTGTGCTCGTTTGTCACCTTTATTCTATAAAAAAATTATCAAATACTATAAGATTTACATTTGGTTTCCATAGTCTCTTGGGGGATACCTACGGGACGGAATGGCGTGATGAGCTTGATTCTACGACGTAAAAAAGCATCAAGTTTTTAACGACCTCTTTCTTTAGTTTTACAAAACGTGTCAAGCTGAGTTACTGGTCACTCTTATGCCGAATCCACACACCAAATTGTAATTTATACGTAATAGAGGCCGATTCGACCGGAGAAGGACAACGCTCGCAGATAATAATAGCGTGAAATAGCAGTACAATGCTGTGTGTTATGCTATGCTATGCTAAGTTTATCGCGATAAGTTAAACTTTTTTTAGTGGTAACAAGACATTCCATGTTAGTCCTCAGATGTGACATAAAAACTGCATTTTGATTCTTAACCGAGAATAAAAACGTAGGTGTCTATGGGTCACAGCGCATATTTGCAATAAGGTAATATATTTAAAAGAAGGGGAGGGATGTAATAGAGGCGGGAGTAGCTGTGTTTCTTGTAAAATTTATACAAATAAATTAATTCTTAAACTGACAATGTTTGCCATTTTATGTATAGACTTACGACCTATTTGCCCGCCACCAGACAAGATTAATAAGCCAGAATTCTACGCCATCTCTTTATCGAAAGGTATTTTTTTTTAATTATATATCGTTTCATATTACTAATTAATTTATAAAAAGTTATTTTAAGTGCTGATTTATGAAATGTTCGACGATGAAGGATAATATAGTGAAAAAAATACATAATATCTAAAAAAATATGCAAGTTAAATATTTCTAAGACATTTTAAGTCCGCCAACGCATATTGGGACAGTGCATCGGATACCAGCAGTGAGACATAAATAAGCCGTATCTTTACTAAATCTGTCTACTGTTTACTCCGACAGGATGTCAGCGCTGCGATAACTTTGTTACTATAGCATAAGCTGAATCGGTGGCTTTTATGTTGCTGCAATCCATTTTTTTTTAATAGTTTATTAAGATGATTGTAAAACAGTAAATTTGCATACAAAAAGCGATAACGTTTTTCCCCACGTAAACATAATGTAATTTTCATTAACATCTGTTTTTTTAAATAACGTTACCCCCACACTAGGATTTTCTCCTGTATCGTGGAGGCAGTTTAGAAACACAAATTGCACATGTACAAACATCCATACCCGGACCAATTATTTGCCATAAAAATACTTGTTCCGTGCGGGATTCGAACCCGCGCCCCCCAGCGTAGCAACTCATTACTAAGCCACTGCGCCACGGAGCCTAATTAATTAATTCAAACACATATATATATATATATTTCCTCGAGCGTTTTAATTTACTAAAAACGTAACGTACGTACAGACCTAGATTAAGGTGTACTGAATCTAATGGGAGTAATCTAATGTTTAGGGGGTTGAAAACGTTATCGCCCGTAAGAATATTCCAAAAAAGAATTGTATGCAATTGCCTCCAAGACTTCCAACTCTCTACGAGGAGGGAGGCAGAGCGAGCGGTATAAAACAAGTTCTAAGTATATGATTAATGACCCTCTTAAATGTATATATCACACGTCGCCATCTAATAGATTTTACATCTACAATGGTTGAAATAACACAATTAGCAAATGCGCTGTCCACTTAGATGGGCCAACATGTGCACTAATATTTTTTTGTAAACGTCCATGTGTATGTTTTGTTTTAGATTGTATGGACTCCAAGATTAATTTATATAAAATGACTCACGTCGACACCAAAGAATGTAAACAGTTTTACCGGAGGTCTGGGGTAAGAAATTATGTATAATTTTAGAATATTCAAAGAATTGTATTGGAACATCTATTTCTTTTATATTTTGAATAAAAAAATTAAGTGATCGTAGCCTTATGATAATTGACTGCTGCAAAATTTCAAAAAGTTTTTTTTTTTATAAGATCGGGTGACAAACGAGCACACAGTCCACCTGATGGTAAGTGGTTACTGTGACCCATAGACATCTACATCTATCCTCAATAAAGACTCAAGATGCAGATGCGTTGTCACCAATGAGGACTAAGATGGAATGCCTCTTTGCCAGTAAAAAGGGTCTCCGGTTCTCTACACTCACCATACGAAGCACAGCAGCGTTAAGCTGCTATTTTACGCTGGTTTTCTGTGAGAGCGTGGTCCTTCCCCGTTCGAGCCGACCCATTCGTGCTACAACCATAATATAGCTGCAGCATGGCTCTACCAACTAGAAATCTATCTATCATAAATCGCTTCTAATGCAAACATTAGCAAAGCTATTAGTTATTTTAATAGCATAACAAGTATTTAGGCATTAACAAAGAATTCTGTAACATTAATCAAATTTTTTTTTCCGGGTTCCAATAACGTATACAGGGTTATTTTTCAAAGAGTAGCCAAATTTTTAATTTGTTTAAATATATAAATGTATAAATGATATACCGTTATTGCAGTTTCTGAAAATACAAGTAAATAAGGCTTCTACATTTATTTTAAATTATCCCAAACTGAGTGTGATTTATGGGCAACAATGTTTCTGCCTACCGATCGACTCATACGAATGTGTGAGTTAAAATAATGCATTACAACGCAAAAAGGACAGAATGTTTGAGATTTTTGTTATTTAAATTTTCCACACTATTTGCCTATTTTACTTATTCGGAACCTTCTCTGGTTCTCTGGCTAGTTATTACTAAATAATCCTGTATACACTATAACTCTCTATGCAACTCGTTTTGTAGGTCCTTAAAAGTGTACCTAAACGAAAAAAAAAAAAGCAAGTAGAATGTAATTTATCTTTTGCCTGGGATCCTGGAATGGTTTAATTTAAAAAATACTTTTCTTTTTAATTTTTCCTCACTTCTCAATTTTTGTTAAAGACAAAGTGCTCCTAAAACTTAATCGCTGGTCTAAAAATTCATAGTACTCAAACGGCAGGGAGTACCAACCCCGCTCACTTAGCGATCAGCCACCGCAGTCTAATTCACCTGAGGATGCCTCGTGTAGAGGCTAAGCATGTGTCGTATTGTCAATGGCGATGTGTCTTTCCTGGTGTGGTGGTGTTGCGGGGATTAGTGATGACGGGGATAGTGCATGCAATTGTGGGAAGGCAGGAGGTGTTCCTCTTCAAACTAGGGAAAACACATCATTTTATTATATTATGTAGATATTAGCACATTAGTTTTTAAGATCTTTAATATAATTAATTTCCGCAAAGTAACCTCTGATTCGATTAAAGTCTTTTCGGCAAGGTGGGCGAGATGAAGACGTTCGATTCACAAATTAAAACAATTTGGTGTTTTAAAACTCTTTAATTTCTTACATTCATTTTTACTATTCATTCGACATTTTTTTCATTAGAATTAAATGCTTTTAACATATTTATTGTCTTATTACCGTTATAGCCTATTAAAGTCCACTGTTAAATATCCTCGTGGAAACTCTTGCGAATGCCATACAGAGTTGTCACGGCAGACTCTTCTCTGTTCCAAAACCCTAGAAATGAGAGTAGGCCTGTGTCCGACCGTGGGTCATTACTGAAGACTGATAATTTACTTTCTCTTTAAATGACAAACGAACTAACAACCCTCCTGATAGTAAGTATCTTGACCGATGTCTGCAACCCATGAACACATACATGCTACTTCAAACCAATAAGGCAGCAGATGCAATGACTAAAAGGAACAGTTGACAATGAAATGCCTTATAACCTGAAATTTAATGTTCAATCTTTTTAACTTACAGGGACAATGTTCTTCATTTACAGTCTTAATTTACCACCAATTAATAATTTGCTCTTCTCTCTTAAAACAAGAATGAAGAAGAAGACAACCAGTCCATACAAATATAATGTAGTACAATATTAACTTTCAGTTAGACGTGAAGAGTATTTGGCCTAAATACACGGTGTGTGCTAAGGCACTCAGAGGCGGAGAGTGCTTGTGGCAAAGCGGAGTGTTTCTCGTCTTGAAGCAAGATAATAAATGGATGTTGGTACGTACTGAATTATGTGTTATAAAAAAAATGTATCACACTTGTCAGCACTGGTTATAGTATTTGGCTGATAATATTTCCCCCACTCATTACAAAGACTAAAAATGAAAATATTTACTGGTGTTGTCCTCTATCCTCTAATATTGGTTTACCCCAAGGAAGCATACTTGGTACTTTATTGTTTTTATTATATATTAACTCATTATTGAAGCGCCAACACACATTGGGGCAGCGCGGCGGACACTTCCTTGTCCTAAAAGTCCTCTCAGAAGCGAGAAGAGGCCTGTTCCTAGCAGTGGGACGTAAGCATGTCACGAGCTCACAGTCCAACTTATGGTAAGTGTATCTTTTGACTGCCTCGTCGTTCTAGTGATCGTAAACGCGATTGTTTGATTGTGAAGTCCGGCGTTCGAATCCTTTCGGACCAATATCAGTTATTGGATTTTTCTGTCAAGAAATTCTTAGTAGCCCGGTGTCATAAAGTTGGCGGTGTTTCACCCCCGTGCCTTGGAAAACATATTAAAGCCGTTGGTACTGCGCATGATCTCTCTCTGGTCGTCGTGTCGCATTGCCGTCCTACCGGACTATTAATGTGAGGGTATTAAGAGTGCACCTGTGCTTGCGCATACACTTGGATACTATAATCCTGTCCTGCGCAAACGATTAGTCTCCGTTGAGACTGGCCGCGGCAACCGAAATTCGTCTGGAGGACAGCTATGACACTGGTACGCAAACAACTCAATCCCTCCGTGACCATAGGTGCTGTAAAGCACCCAAAACATCGGAAATTATAAAGTTAAAATTAAACGCGATAAAATCCGCAAAATTTGTTTCAATTAATAATTTAAACAGGCTGGTTTTGGTGTTCATGGTCCTGGATGCGAATTGCCTTCAAGATTTTTGGACTACGGCATGTATCATCAGTGGGTTCTAACAGTGCTTGAAAGGATTGGTAAACCGGCCATAACTAGGCTCGCTCCTAACATCCTTATAATGCGACGACGTAAGTTTTTTTTTTATCATAATATGTGTTTATATTGTGTTATACAACATGTAACAAAAACCCTGTGGTTTCAGTATAGTGCGTTATCAGAATCAGTATTCAAACCTTAAAATGAAAAAATTAAATTAAACTTAAATAAATTTTTGTTTGCTAATTGTATGCGATTTATTACCTCTGAATGACCCACGCATCGGTAAAGTGGGGCCGTTGACTATTACCACATGAGTAAAGCCGCCTACTGATATGCCTGCCGCAGGGGCAATCTAGGGAGCAAATCGATCGGAGCAATATCGGAGGTGTCTCTACACACACGCCTGCCGTTCAGTATGAGAGTGTACGTCCCGCTGGACGCACGCGTTGAGAGTGGCGCCAGTTTTATCGAAATATCAATGAATCGGTATATATAGCCTGGGCTCTTTTTTATATAGAATAAGGGTGACAAATGAGCACAGTCTTCCTGATGGTAAGTGGATACTGTGGCCCATATACACCCACATTTATCAATAAAATAACTAATTAAAACTAATCTAGGGAGCAAGGAAGTAGGCATGAGTAAAAAATATCGATTTATCGAAATATCGATATTTTTTAATAAATATTTCGATATATATCGTCGATATTTTAAATTGCGATATATCGTCAAATCAATATTTATTTCAATAATAAATAATTAATATTTATTCAAATTGATTGATGAAATATTTATTTCATTAATCAATTTTTTTTGGACCTTATCTTTACATCATTCAAATGGTGACGATATATCGATATTTATCACGCGATATATATCGATACTGTTTAAAAATATAGATTCGATATATATCGATATATTTTTCCCTTTGCCCATCCCTACAAGGAAGGTCTTGCGCTCCTGCCGCCATGCCGCAGTGCCGACTTAAAAAATTGCCCCTGCTTGCCTACACACATCACAATTAATTTTTTTTATTATCTTAGGCGACAAGAGTGGTTAAAAGCTGTCGGACAAAAAGATATCCTTTCAAAACTTTTTGATTATAAAATGATGTGAGGATCACTTGGAAAATTCTGTATTACATTTTTTTAAAAGGATCATAAAATATTTATTTGGAAATGCTTTTCCAACGCTCAACTTGCCGACAAATGACGATGCTTGTTCGAGTTTCAGTCAATGAAAGAATGTACCTGAAATATTGATTGTTGTATGAATTGCTTGAGCAAAAATTTTACGAATATTTTCATCTCGAAAGAAACATTGTAAATATTGGTAATGAAATATTTAAACGTGTGCAGGATTGTACATTTGTTATGTTATGTGAGTGCTTTCTAATAGATTATTTAAAAAATACGACACTAGACTTAGAATTTATCACTTAATTAAAAGGCACAACTGGAAGAACAAAAATTATAAAAATAAAATATTTAGTATAAAAATAGTTTGTAAAAAATATAATACATTAAGTATTATAATAAAAGTTGATAAACGTTTTGTTATTCAATTTTATCCTCCTGTGCCAACCCTACAAAAATATTTTAAAATTTTGACAGCTCCTTAGAAGCTTTGCCTCTGTACGGTTTGTTTACTCATGTGGCAAAGGTTCTAAGTAGCTGTCAAAATTATTATCTGTTTTGTTAGCGTTGACACAAGAGGATAATAAAAAAAAACGTTTATCAGTGTTTTATGACCTATCATAGAATATTTTTTTAACAAACTGCTTACATACTCTAAATATTTTATTTCATTTTTTTTGTTTTTGAATAATCTGATGTGCCTTTTAGTTGAATGGTAAATCTTAAACATAATAAAGTTTCTTTTTTAAATAATCTTATAGATAGCAAACACATGTCATATATAAGCTAGCAATAAATTTGTTTACTCTAGCATATTAAAAACTAATGGTAAATCCAATTGAGCATGCCTTCGCATTAAAATAAATTACATATAGCATGATTATACGGATTTTTTTAAAGTAGTTTAAATACACACAAGTTTTCACTAATAACCTTATTATACTTCAGATTTTCGGATAATTTTATGTCAAACTTCAATTTGAAAAAAGTTTGGAAAATCCAAAGTACACGACTCATAATGCTCATATGATCGTCATATCATCATTCATGTCACTCCATAAAGTCCAAGACGTATTTAGGTATAAATATTACATCCTACTTACTTTTAGTATGTACTACTATTATTTATTCTGTGCTTTTAAAATATTGTAAAAAAAATGTCTGATTATTATAATAATCAAGTATGTATGAAATATGTTTTAGGAATATTTTGTATTTATTTGTACAGCGATCTTTTTAAGCCGCTGCAAACAACCGATACAGTATCCACTTACAACGGCGGTTGGCGAAGAACTAACCGAGCGAGGCACAGGCAGTCTCTATTTACTAAAATGAATTCTAACACAAGGCTGCTAAAACACCGAAAATTTTGACATTTAGCAGCCGAAAAAAATTAATTATAACTAAACAAAACAAAAGTAAACTGCCATTTACATTCAATGGCTTCCCACATGACAAATGAAGAGTTTTAAAAATATTTGATATTTTCGAAAGTTATCGTGTTTACAAAGCCATACGGACTTGATAAATCCACACCATAAGCAACTAAAACCCCTTTTTATGTAAAAATAGCAATTAATCGATTTAAAAAAAAATTATAAGTTCAACAATCATTTATCTTTCTGAAAATGCGCTTTATATATCATTTATATGTATAATATGATTGCTAGATACGATTCCTTGCGACAAAACGTTGGAATCTTGATTTTTAGGCGCTAGTAGAACATACCTATGCGCTTTGCGCTTACGGCATACATTAAATAATAATCAATAACCAATTATCTAGCGGGGTCTTTGGGATATTAAAAAAAAAACATGTGTGCAGATCACACGCGGAAGAAGTGAAACCTTCAAATGAAAGGAAATCTAAAATAAAAATATTTCACAGCAAATTATCTGTTTAATTTAATTATTTTCAACCACAATTGCGGCATAAAATACAGTGTGTCCCGCGGTAAAGTGCAACCCTGAAAGGGGGTAAAACTAGACCATAAATTATCGACCAAAAATAGAAAAAAAAATAAAAAATATATATTTTACTTTTTATTGACGAATTAAGATATTTATATCTTATGTGGACTCTATGTACAAAAATTACGACACCTCGCATAGGCGAGGCATTCACTGCTGGTTACTCTTGATCATCATCATTGAATCAATGAGAGATTATTGTAATTTTTCATTATCTCTTAAACTATGCGTCCAAATAACATGCTATAAAGAGCAAAATGTATCCTCATAAAATTGTCTTGATGATGAAGTAACTTCCTTTCGCAAGGACTAATTTGCCATGCCTAATAATAACGCTTATAAATCACTTTTAATTTCAATATTTGTTGTCACAAAATACCTTGTTTGCGCGTTTACCGCTAAAAAGAACCCCTTAGTCGTATCTCCTCAGTTTCAAGGCACTCCCCTTCTTGCCTCAGCCAGTATCGGTATCCTCGGAGTCGACATATCGAGTGACGTGCAGTTTCGTGGTCACTTGGAAGAGAAGGCCAAATTAGCCTCTAAAAAGCTTGGCGTGCTCAGCAGAGCGGGACAGTATTTCAATCCGGCACACCGCCTGCAACTTTACAAGGCGCAGGTTCGGCCTCACATGGAATACTGTTCCCATCTCTGGCCAGGGGCTCCCCAGTGCCAGCTCCTTCCACTTGACCGCATCCAGCGCAGAGCGGCTCGAGTCGTCGACGACCGAGCCCTTTCCGATCGGCTCGATTCATTGGCACTGCGAAGAGATGTTGCATCCCTTTGCATTTTCTTTCGCATCTACCATGGGGAGTGCTCTGAAGAATTGTTCGGATTAATCCCAGCCGCCAAATTTCACGAACGCACATCGCGGCAGAACTCCCGATACCATCCACACCATCTGAATGATTGGCGGTTCACTACTGTGCGATTTAGAAGATGTTTTCTTCCTCGCACGACTTCCTTGTGGAATCGATTACCATCAGCGATTTTTCCGGACCGATACGACTTAGGGACCTTCAAGAATAGAGCGTACTCCTTTTTAAAAGGCCGGTAACGCATCGGCAATTCCCTCCCTGGTGTTGCAGTTGTTCATGGGCGGCGGTAGTCACTTACCATTAGATGAGCCGCATGCTCGTTTGCCCCCTCTCCTATAAAAAAAAATCTCTGGGCAGGGGCTCCCCAGTGCCAGCACCTTCCACTTGACCGCATCCAGCGCAGAGCGGCTCGAATCGTCGACGACCGAGCCCTTTCCGATCGGCTCGATTCATTGGCACTGCGAAGAGATGTTGCATACCTTTGCATTTTCTTTCGCATCTTCCATGGGGAGTGCTCTGAGGAATTGTTCGGATTAATCCCAGCCGCCAAATTTCACGAACGCACATCGCGGCAGAACTCCCGATACCATCCACACCATCTGGATGATTGGCGGTCCACCACTGTGCGATTTAGAAGATGTTTTCTTCCTCGCACGACTTCCTTGTGGAATCGATTACCATCCGCGATTTTTCCGGACCGATACGACTTAGGGACCTTCAAGAAAAGGGCGTACTCCTTTTTAAAAGGCCGGCAACGCATCTGCAATTCCCTCCCTAGTGTTGCAGTTGTTCATGGGCGGCGGTAGTCACTTACCATCAGGTGAGCCGCATGCTCGTTTGCCCCCTCTTCTATAAAAAAAACCTTATCGTGACTTACTACTCTGTCAAGAAAGTACCGGGAAAAGATCAATAATACACAAAATGTTAGCGGTTCCTTTTCTCATGTGACAATACTCTTACTTCCCAGACAATGTAAAGGTAATAATAATAATAATAATTTATTTCAGATAACCAAGTGATCCATAAAATTTGTTAGTAAATATGAAACTTATAACCTATGTTAGTACCTAAATCTAATTCTTAAATACAAGTGCCTTATTAACTAAACATAGGCGGTAATATTGCTTAAGGAGGAATGAGTCGTATCTTTCAGCAATTATTTTCATG